TCCCTAGTCATTGTCCAACTCTCTGATGCATAACAAGTGATTGCAAAGACCATGGCCTGTATCAGATGCACCTTAGTCTCCAGAGTGACACCATTACCATGGACTTGATCAGATATATCTTTGTCTTTCAGGTGATAACAATATATATCATCACTTTTATTTTATTTTTTCATTTTACTAAAGGTTCACAAAGAGACTGGTATATTTTCTTCTTCCTTTCTCAATTCCCTTTATAATTCTTGTCTTGTTTCAGGTTGTTAATCATAATACACACAATTTCTAATCATCCATTACTCTCAAATAGTCCTTTCTTTCACCATTTCAGTACAGTGTTCATTATCTATCCATTCTTTCCCTACTCCCTCTCTTATCAATCCTATTATTGTAACAGTGGTCTCATACAGTGTTTGTCACTTTGTGTCTGAGATATTTCACTCAGTGTAATGTGTTCTATACTCATTCATATTATGTAGTGTTTTATGACTTTACTGTTTTCCAGTGCTGCATAATATTCTACTGTGTGAATGTACCTTAATATTTCTATCCATTCAATTGTTGATGGATACTTGGGCTGCTTCCATCTCTTTGCTATTGTGACTAATGCTTTGATAAACATGAGTGTGCATATATCTGTTTGGTCAATTGCTCTAATTTCTTTTATATCAGCAGTAAGATAGCTCAGTCAAATGCTATTTCTAATCCCAACTTCTTTTGGGAGGGTATATTGCTGGGTTTTTTAATTTCATACTAGTTTATTTACAAAGTTTGAATACATTGTTTTTCATACTGGATCATACTGGATCTTTCCCATTTCCTTCACCTCCCTTCATCAAATTGTGTGATCCTATGGTAAACCCACCCACCCCTCCCCCCTTGGATCTTCATACTCATTCTACAATAATGGTTTTATACAGTATTTGTCCTTATGAGACTGAGTTAGTTCACTCAGCATAATGCTCTCAGTCTCTCTCAAGTTATTTAGTAATTTACAAAATCGTTGTTCCTGCATGCTGTGTAGTAGTCCATTGTGTGAATGTACCACAACTTTCCATTCATTTGTGGCTGGACATCTGTTTCCATGTTCTTACGATGGTGAATAACACTGCTTTGAATATTGGTGTACAAGTCTCTGTTGGCACCTCAGTTCTCATTTTCTTGTATTCCCAACTTTTTGGGGATGCCTCAGATGGCCTCTCATAGTGATTGTACCATTTTACCTTCCCACCAACAGTGTATGAGAGTTCCAATCTCTCCACATCCTTGTCAGCATTTGTTGTTGGTTTTTTGTTTGTTTGGGGTTTTTTTTCTGTCCTGTTGAACTTTGCATTTGTTGTTAGGGTGATATGCTGCCTCATGTTTTTTTATTTGCATCTTTGTCACTTTAAAGAGGTTCTTGGAAGTATATTTCCTCATTGCAGTATGTCCTTTGATTTTTTGATTCCTGCTTCTGTGAGATCCAAGTAAAATTAAGTCCTTAACAGCTTCAATCTTTTCTTCATTTGTTATGATTTTATTTGTTGTTCTAATTCTGAGAATTTATATTTTTTTTTATATTGAGGTATAATTCATATTGACAGCCACAGTCTTTGTGTATTATATCAAATAAGTATGACACAAACAATGCACAGTTCTGCATACCACACACTGTACCTGGCTTTTGGAAGCAATTTGAGGAAACAAAAAATGCAGGGGAAAACATAGGAAAAATGAAAAGAAAATCACTTCTGGTATAGAAGAACTTACCCTATGATTAGACACCTAATCTTCACTGAATTATAAGTTTTATTATGCCCCTAGGATATTTGTGGCCACATGGTGACAGTTATCATCAGATTATGTTTCAGATGGGGGCAAGATAGTCAGGCATCCTGAATTCTCAGCCCAAAGTCTGAAGAGAGGTCTTAAGGACCCATAGAAGTCACACTGATCAAAGGTATAAATGTGGGTTTTATCTACCATATTATAAAATGAAATATATCTAGCCTCAGAATCTAGAAAAACACACACTTTTCTAGGATGATCCTTTTGAGTAAGCTGTGTTTCTGGAGATGTGAGTGCCCAATACTCATTCTTATAAAATCTGATGACCCAGAATCCATCCTCAGGTTTTAAGACAACCCTTTCTTTCCTCTTTACATTGTTCCTACAAATCCCAAGGTCCCAAAACCCATTGGTCCCAACTTCCACCTCCCAATAACACCTCCCTGATGGGATGGGCTGCTGACCCAGAACACAGGGAAGGAAAGAAAATCTCTGTGGGTCTTGAGGAATATCTTGAGGTTTCTCTCCCCAGGTTACTTGTCTTTTGTCTTCAGACAAGATGAGATTTGGATGAGCTGTGGCTGGATCCAGAGTTATATGCACTGCAAAGACATTCACCAATTAAATCTCTGAAAATATAGTATGATACTAAAAACAGCTATCTACATTATCTAGATATATTTGTGTCTACATAAGATAAATATATTCTTATATGAATTCTATCCCTGCCCTTCTTCAACTTCTCACAATGTTCAGCCTAGACATAAGGAGGAGAGTCTTTTCTATTTTATCTGGGGATGACTCACCAGCTTGAAAAAATTCTTTCCTCCAATCTGGAAAATAAAACGACACCAAAAAAATCTATAAATATGTGTCATCAGGCCTACTATTTCAATTTCTAAGCAAAAGACCTTATTATTTCTGATAGTCCCTTTGCTAATGTCTTAAATTTATTATATATTTTCTACTTAACCTAATTTTCTGGTTTTTCTTGTTAAAAATTCCCCTAAGAATTAAGTTTTTCACCATATGCTATGTGTGGTATTCATGTTCATCAAGACAACTCCCTTGAATAGATAGCAAAATTACAGGACTCCTGTATTTTTTGGGAAAAAATGTTAAATTCAATAGTCTCAACAAAGATATTCAATCTTCATTTATTAATATA